AATTTATATCCATTCTATAATAGGGGCACCAGAACTGAACCGCATAATCGAGGTGCGGCCTGACTAGCGCAAGATATAGTTGCAATAAGACCTCTGCACCCTTGTTACTTACAATTCTAGATATAAAACCCAATACTCTGTTTGCCTTATTTCGAACATTAACTCACTGTTTTCTAGGCCGTAGGTCCGGGCTTACAAGTACCCCTAGGTCTTTTTCACAAGTCGACTTCTCTAGGTTGATGTTATTAAGGCTGTATACATTATAAGTATTTGTTCTTCCAATATTAAGTACGCTGCACTTGCTGGTGTTGAATTTCATTTGCCATTTTTCAGACCACCCCTGCAGTTTATTTAGATCCTCCTGTAATGCATTTGCATCCTGCCCTGAATTAATTTGCCGCCCTATTTTGGTGTCATCCGCAAACTTGCTTATGTCACTGCTGATCCCAGTATCTAGATCGTTTATGTAGATTATGAACAAGAGTGGGCCTAGTACTGACCCCTGGGGAACCCCACTGGTTACACGGCCCCACTCAGATTTAACACCATCTACGCTGACCCTCTGCGTTCTATCGGTGAGCCATGATTTTATCCAATTTAAAACTTTCCCCTCGATACCATGAGCCTTAATTTTTCTCAGAAGCCTCTGATGCGGTACTCTGTCAAATGCTTTGCTAAAGTCTAAGTAAATAACATCGTAATTTTCGTCATTATCTACTACCTCGAAGACTTTCCTAAAAAACGTTAGCAGATTTGTTAGACAAGATTTTCCCTTTGTAAACCCATGTTGAGAGTCGTAGATTAATTTGCTTTTCTCTAGATGCGATCGGATGCTATCTGCTATAATTGATTCAAGAAATTTCCCCACTACTGACGTCAAACTGATCGGCCGGTAATTTGACGCTGATGCTCTGTCTCCCTTTTTGAATATGGGTACTACATTTGCCTGTTTCCACAAGTCTGGCACAACTCCAGTGCCTAATGATTTTGTAAATAAGTTTACGAGGGGTCCGCTAATCTGTTCCCTACACTCTTTCAAGACTCGAGGGAAAATTTCATCCGGCCCTGGGGATTTTGTTTTCTTTAGTTTATTTATCTTCTTAAGAACATCCTTATGAACTATAAAATAGAGGCATGTGTTTCTTCGCTTTGCTGGAGATTTAATGATATTATAAATGTTTCTATAAGTTTCATAGCCAGAATGGAGAGATAATGTTGACACTACACCAGGCACGTTTGGGAGTCAGCTGTCCTTTTCAGTATTGTCTCTTGTCTTTCAAACTACATATAGTACAGTATATTAATGTGAAAGAAGGATGTTTGTCTTCGAGTTCAGAAATCAAAACAGACTATGACTGAATATACTGAAAATATTACCACTCCTCACCGTATAACAAATATTATAGCAATATGCTTTTGTGTGGATATGAAAAGTTGTTTTAATTCGTACTACTTTTTAATATTTTAGAATTACATATATATGTGTGTGGGGCCATTCAAATGAATTAAGCAAGCTACATGTTCCGAGCTGAACTTCATGAATATAATGGACAACTCCCAGTTGCACATCAACTAACGAGGCAATTCAGAAATAAATTATTTTTCAGGAGTCAAATATCAATGCTCAACTGGCTAAGGTACAAAAAGTTTCACGTTAATGAAAGAGGAACTGTGGGAGTTTTAATTACGAAGAGACACAATCACTAATTTATATAACATTAAAAGAATACAGTACATTTTTTCTCAAAATACTATAAGCAACAGCATATTTCTAAAGTGAACAGTATATGGTTTACTGATGAACTGTGATGAAAACAGGAATAAACACAGACGAATGTTAATTTATAAGTCTCCAGTGTATTGCAATGAAAAATATCAATGGTTTTCGACACCAAAAATGGGAGATAAGCATTTTTAGATGTAAGAACAATACATTCTTAACTTGAAAAATAAGAATATATAATAATACGGATGTTATTTGATACTACTATGTTCGAAGGTGATGCAAATAGTAACAGGAAGAGTGAAAAATAATAATTCACCATCAGGATAAATGAAAGCTATAGATATGCTTCAAAACTCCTTACAAAGTTTTACATCAATATTAACTTTCAAGTGTTTTAATGTTAAAAATAAATCGTTAATGTTAGAATAAAGAATGTTGGGATTTGTAATGTTAAAAGACAAACCTTTAATTTTTAATGTGTTCTTAGTATAAACCATCATATTTAATGCTGTCTGAATAAAAACCCTTCAGGTCTTATCATAAACCCATAATATTTTGCAATTCTAAAGGTGTTTTAACATCCAGGGCTGTGATGCCGAAATAAACGAAATACATTTAACCCAGATTGCTTAGCACTGACAATCATAACCGAGTGTCTCATAGTAGCTAAACTTTTACCCTTAAATAGGTATATGTGAACACATTTAATTCCCTAAGTCTCAATGAAGTTTTAAAGCCTTATGTAATTGGGTTACATCTAAGCATTTTTAGGTCTATCGTCAGGGAAAAATTAATCCCTCAAGAACCAGGGCTCTTAATAATATATAATGTTCGGCTTTACACATTTCCCAGGCGTCATATTACATCTCGCATATTATAGTTCGTGACGTGACTCTGACAGTAAGACGCAAGGAAGCCAATACTCCATAATGCACCTAACACCACGGCATAATTCACCAGAACATCAGAGAGAATAAAACCTGTAGATTAATATAAAAATATGATATTACTAAAGAAATATTTAAAAATGCAAGTAACAAATGCTTTCCTAATGTACTGATTTTCAATATATAGAGGAAGGTGTTATCTGCCACAACTGATTTCTCTAGAATTTTTCAATGGTCACGTTATAGGATCTGTTTAACTCGACTCGATATGGGTTTATGGCTGTATATAATATAATGGTTGACGTATTGTATGGATATTATCGTACCTATAGCAACCTCTCTACATGTAAACAAACACATTTGTATTAAATAAAATAGTATTAGTTATATATTTAATATATTAATTAAATATCTGATCCTTAAAAAAAAAGAACTACGTAAAACTGTACAGCCAAGAACTTGCGAACTTGCACACTACATCCTTGACCACCGAAGGGTCAAGACGTACCTGGCGCTCCTCTGGGAGCAGCCAGGTCAATTGTTAAGTTGGCCTATACCAACTCCCTCCCTTGAACCCTCCTCCCCACCGGAATATCAAGTTCTCGCCAAAAGTTACAATTTCATTTAGGAAAGGAATGGAACCAGTGTTGAACAGAAGTGAACAGTGGTGAACAGTGCTGAAGTCAGTGAGAACAACTCAACAGTAACAGCCGAGTCGTACCTAAGTTAATCTTCACACAGTGATGGCCCAGGTACCCAGTGATAACTGTCCGTGAGACCCAACAACAACCAGCGATGTGTTAATCCGTCTACGATAGGAAGGCCTGGGACCAAACCTCACTCATATAACACCATCTGTGAGGGAATTACTACACCACGTGAGGTCCCTCATAACACCATCTGTGAGGGAGTTACTACACCACGTCAGGCACCTCATAACACCATCTGTGAGGATATTACTGCACCACGTCAGGCCCCTGATAACACAATCTGTGAGGGAATTACTATACCACGTGAGGTCCCTCAAAACACCATCTGTAAGGGAACTACTACACCACGTGAGGTCCCTCCAAACACCATCTGGGAGGGAGTTACTACACTACGTGTTTGCTGTTCAACACCGACATTAATCTGTACGTTTATTGATGTTCCTTTACCTTTCTCTAATGAAGGCTTTCGTTAAACCACCAATGTATGTAATAAGTCATTTATGTCCAATGTATATTTTCAGCCTTCGGGCTGCAGAACTTTTCCAATAAACCGTTGATTATTATTATTATTATTATTATTATTATTATTATTATTATTAGTGTAATTATTATTATATTCTTACAAGCAAAGACTTCATACTAGAACATCGAAGTACTCGAATATGACATTTACAGCCGAAAAGTTGAACGTAAGTTATCACAGCCAAAAACACGAATAAAAATCAGTACTGGAGCTAAAAGTTTCGAAATCAGGAACATGAACACTAGAAAAAGGTTTCGGTAAGTTCCAGGTTGAAACACCACTGCCTCGCAACACAACAAACACAATTTTGCACTTAAAAAACTAAATTATGTTCTGTTCATGTGGAATATTACAAAACTTGTAGCCGTAGTGTACCAATGACAGCAAGAGAATGTTGGCGGTACTGTACCAATGACAGCAAGAGGATATTGACGGTACTGTACCACTGACAGCAGGAGGATGTTGACGGTACTGTACCACTGACAGCAAGAGGAAGTTGGTGGTACTGTACCACTGACAGCAGGAGGATGTTTACGGTACTGTACCACTGACAGTAGGAGGATGTTGGCGGTACTGTACCACTGTCAGCAGGAGGATGTTGGCGGTACTGTACCACTGACAGTTGGAGGATGTTGACGGTACTGTACCACTGACAGCAGGAGGATGTTGACGGTACTGTACCACTGTCAGCAGGAGGATGTTGGCGGTACAGTACCACTGACAGTAGGAGGATGTTGGCGGTACTGTACCACTGACAGCAGGAGGATGTTGGCGGTACTGTACGACTGACAGCAGTAGGATGTTGGCGGTACTGTACCACTGACCAGCAGGAGGATGTTGGCGGTGCTGTACCACTGACAACAGGAGGATGTTGGCGGTGCTGTACCACCTGTGACAACAGAGAGGATGTTGGCGGTACTGTACCCACTGTCAGGAGGAGGATGTTGACATTACTGTACCACTGACAGCAGGAGGATGTTGACGGTACTGTACCACTGACAGCAGGAGAATGTTGGTGGTACTGTACCACTGACAGCAGGAGAATGTTGGCGGTACTGTACTGACAACAGGGAGGGATGTTGGCGGTACTGGCCACCACTGACAGCAGGAGGATGTTGGCGGTACTGGCACCACTGACAGCAGGAGGATGGCGGTACTGTACCACTGACAGCAGGAGGATGTTGGCGGTACTGCACCACTGACAGCAGGAGAATGTTGGTGGTACTGTACCACTGACAACAGAAGGCATGTTGGCGGTACCGTACTACTGACAGGAGGAGGATGTTGGCGGTACCGTACCACTGACAGCAGGAGGATGTTGGCTGTACTGCACCACTGACAGTAGGAGGATGTTGGCTGTACTGCACCACTGACAGCATGAGGATGTTGGCGGTACTGTACCACTGACAGCAGGAGAATGTTGGCGGTACTGTACCACTGACAACAGAAGGCATGTTGGCGGTACCGTACCACTGACAGCAGGAGGATGTTGGCGGTACTGTACCACTGACAGCATGAGGGCCATAGTGACACTGTTCCACCTACAGCAGCTGGAGGAGGTTGAGGATGAGGTTGGTAGCACACATCATCCTCAACACGACACTGACCTCACATTGGGTGGCTGGAGAGAGATAAAACAACCATTGTTTACTTAATCAGCCAATTAACGTCAGCTTGATTCCTTTTGTGACATGTGAAGGGAAGAGTTCATCAAGGAATCAGTTTGTTGATGTGCTTAATTGGTTTAATTCCTAGATAATTAACAACGGCGCGGGGGCGGAGATCACAGGTAGTCTTATTGGCACCTTGATTAGCAAAGGTAGATTGAATGTGTCTGTCTATTAAAGTTGGGTGTCTGTTATTGTTGGTTGTCTGTCTGTTATTGATGGCTGTCTGTTTGTTATTGATGGCTGTTTATCATTGTTAACTGTCTGTCTGTTTTGTGTTGGTTGTCTGTGTCTGTCTGCCAAACTTCGTCAACCAAAAACAAATTACACAGAATCCACTACCAACATTAACAACCCGTAATCACCAAAATCCAGCCTCCAATCACCAAACTCCAACCTTCAATCATCAATATACGACATCTAATCATAAATCTAGCCTCCAATCACCAAAATCTAGCCTTCAATCACCAACATCTAGCCTCCAATCACTAAAATCGAGCCTTCAATTACCAATCGAACCTGCAATCATAAAATTCGCCTCCAATCACCACAATCTAACCTGCAATCACCAAAATACAGCCTGCAATCCTAAAATCAACCTCCAATCACCAACCTTCAATTCAGCCTGTAATCATAAAATTCAACCTTCAATCAACACAATCCAGCCTGCAATCACCATCACCCTTATAACTAACCCCTAACTACGATGCCCAACCAAATTACTAACAATGACAACCAACCGACACCCACCAACACCACCATCGCACAACCAGGCTAAAATCACCCACAGCCATCTCATAACCAACAACCAAAACTAACACACAAGCACCACATACAACCTACAAAACACCTAACATACAAAAAACATAAATCATAACCATTCCATAACCACAACCAACCTACTACGCCCCCCGGCCAAAGAATCCTTAAACCCAACTCATCTACCACAATCAACCACAATCATAACAACCACCGATACACTGAAGTAATAAACATTTCATCACTACTAATACATCGTGGATCAAACTGAAATTGTCATCACGAACTCTGAATATGAATAATTATCTGTGATAATCTGAACTCATGTAGCGGCAGATGAAAACAATGTTGCTGACGTGTGTGTGTGTGTGTGTGACCCCACAAGCTGAAAACATGTTGATAAGAACCAGAATTAACAAAAGCTTGATTATTTTGGGATGTCCCCATAGGCGCACTTACACCATTAGCATATGTGACAAATGTTAAGAAAACTGCACTGCATATACTACATAACTCGGCTAAAATTCTGAATGAGTCGAGTTCGAAGATAAATGAAAGGACTAAAGTCACAACGACAACCAGTTTCCCGATATAGTGTGTTTTCGACGATCCAGAGAGGAAATACAAATTACATCCTCAAAACTTTACCTGTGTCTGCAATATAAAGGAGTTCCACAACCTATGGTCCTTAGCTAAGCCTCTGTAACCTTTCATCTCAACTGTGGATGACTCAAAAGGATGTTATCACATAGACGTAAATACATGTACATAAATGTACGGCTTTATAACGCCATACTTTAGTTGAGGGAACAACTCACGGACAAATATACGAAATTTACTCTGTAAAATCCACCTACCTGAAAGGAGAGAGCCACTACGTCAACATAGAGAAGGTCAAAGTGTGAGTAACTACTGATGGTGTGAAAAATTGACATATACAGTGTTGTTCAACTCACCGGGAGAATGGTATTCATCCTCATACTCACCTGAGGAGTGGTAGGTACCCACGTAGGAGATCATACGCACTCGTACTCGGAGGGTCTTGTAAGCGTTGAGTGTACGAGACCCCAGCGTCAGCCTGCACTCAGCCTTCATGGATCCTCCCGCTGCCACTACCTGCAGGGTACCAGTGACAGCAACATCAGCAACAGTTTTAATGATGCCAGCAATAATAATAATAAAAATAAAAATACAAATAATATTAATAATAATAATAATAATAATAATTGTAATAATAATAATAATAATGGCAATGGCTGTTTTAGTAACATCAATTGTGCTATGTATTCCAGCAATGGTACAGTACCAAGGGTATTAACAATAGCACTATATGTACAACATTATCGACATTGGTATTTAAAATCACAACTGCAGTACGAGTAATGTCAGAAGAGGCAACTAAAGAACGTCAGCATTAATAACATTAAAGTCAGCTAAGATATTAAACATGTGAAACAATGTCTGTTCAGTTAGCTGAGAGACCGGTCAAAATAATACCTGGTAGCTAATAATAATAATAACGATAATCTCTCACCGCCCAAAATAAAAGAAAGTCTCCCCTGATAAGACGGAAATTAAGTTCTACCCGTTTTCATTGTGGGCGCAAGATGGATCATGGAGGGGAAATGAATTAAGAAGAAAAGAATGTGATAAAGAACGACTACAAAGGAACATGGAAGAGATGACTTGAACGAAGAAAAGAAGAAGGATATTAGAGGAAAATTGGATAATAAATTTAATAAAGGGAGTGAGAGCTGCAATAGAGAAAATGAAAGGAGACATTACTACCAAAGAAATGGGTTTAGGTGAGAAATGTCAGAGAAAACTGATAAAAGTTAAAGAAAATGAAAAGAAAGTGCTATAAGAAAAAACGGTAAGAGAAACCTAAGACATACAAACATCATAAACATTACCATAGGAGATAACAAGTAAATAGTATGTTAAAAAATAAAACAAATGTATCTAAAATTTGAGAAGCACTGGGAAACATAAAGGTTGTTAAGGAGTAGTGGATAGGGTAAGAAAATAGGGGGAAGAATTAATTAAAGGCGGGAGAAAGAAAGATGGAATATTGCTGATAAATAAATACTCATTAAATAATTATCACCGTTAAGATCATTATTCTCTACAAAGTTGTTTAAAAAAGATAAAAGAAAATATAGAAAAGTTTACACAAAAATTATATAAAATTGTAAAAAAAAACCCTCAAGAATTGTGAAAATCTTTAATCTGTTTCAATGTATATACCCCTGAACTATAATAATAATTATAATTATAATAATATTAATAACATATACATACAATCGTTTCAACAAAAAATTACCAGTAACCACTATATATACAAACTCCTCACAGTCCTAAAACCATATAAAACTATATTTCTTATCACCCACGAACAAACAGTAAATTTTATATACAACTTCTTTAATTATTTGATATTTTGTATCGAGTCTCACATTCTACTCATAATAGTGGAAATGTCTTACTAATAATGACAACATTCTACTTATAATAATATATATCCTACTTTAACGATCACTAAACCATTTTACTTATATTAATGTACACTTCTTTCCTGGAATACTGTAAGTGGGTCATATGGTTTTTATTTCTAAATATAAAAATAAAAGAAAAACAGAAATCTCTCTTAAAATAAAGATCGTCCCTATAAATATAGTGTATATAGACCAAAAATTATCGGAATTTCGCAAATATCACTAAATAGCATGACACATCACACACGCACATTGACAGTGCTAAATAAACACTCATTTGATTTACAAAGTTTGCTCTTAACAGCAGATATTCTCATTTGACTCAACTGTGAACAGGAGGAGAAGGTAGGCTTGCCATGGTGTAAGCGAGGAGAAGGAGTGAGGGAAGAGTAAGAGAGAGATGGATTGTGGTGGAGTGAGGGAGGGGAAGGGGAAGGAGGATTGCGTTGGAACGAGTAAGGAGGAGGATGAGGAGGAAGAGAGGAGTAAGGAGAGAGAAGGAGGCAAGCCGGATACACTCACCTGCTGACCGGGTAAATGCAGTGAGAGTCCTGGAGTCTTGCTCGATCCGTCACTGTATGACTTCACAAATTCCGCTGATGCCTGGCAAGAAATAGCATCCTGTGTCAGTTAAAACTTTTCCACTGTGATCATCAAATACAGTACTGTCCTAGTTTTCATCTTTTAATTTAGGATTTGCTTCATATGTAGACGATGCCATATGAAAGATAAAATAAAGTAATATCACAAGGTTGTTGACCCCATTTTGCTTAGTGACGGCGGAGGCTTACAGTCGTCTTGGTGCTAATTGTCTTTACACTCCTATACTTTCATCTACCTTCAGACCACAAATTCCTTCAAAAAGTTTTATTACAAGTCTTTCAACATTTCAGGTAAGGTACCTCAGGACTTTACAGGTAAGTTCTCAGTTCAAGACCATACTTCCCCAAGATGCTGTTGTTTACCTCGCGCGTTTTTTGTTTAATATATTCGGAGTGACGTCACAGACTGCCATGGTAATGACATACTACAATCACCACAATGGATTAACCTGAGAATTACACAGTACGAGACATCATCAGCACCCTTCCACCCTTTAATAATTTTCTGACATTTATTACGCCAGACAAACGTTCGCATTATATCTTATAATGGTAGGAGTAGTAAAAACAATTTATTTTTATAATGAAAATTAAGAGTTCTATAGCTGGCTGCTCACGGATGGTCAATGTTAACCTAATAAATCACTGATCATTAACATGGCAATTTAGAATGCATCTTACAGCTGCCTGACGTCAGACTTCAAATCCCAAGAGCCTGTACAAATAATTTTCTCAGCGCAGTGAGGAAATACCAGCGTAGATTAGTTTATGTTTAACACAGCTTTGAAATCGTTGATCACGTGTAGGGGTTTGTTTTGTCAGGTGAGTTTTTGTCGTACTCATGGTCAACATATTAAAAACTGTGTTAATTATAAACTGGCCCAAGTTGGTACCTCCTCACCATGCTGGGAAAATTAGATCCCGATTTAAAAAAAACTAATTCGTTAATTATGTTTGGGTAGTCTCTCTACAATTTCGATCCCATTTTGGGCAACTATATCTCCCTCGCTGTTAACGTGTCACATGCATTCTCTTCTTAGTGGAGATATCTACTAACAGCTAAGTGGTAAATTTAACTTAAGTACTTTCAAAATACGACTCTGGCCTCTGGTGCCTCAAACAAACCCTATGATTTATATTTCTTATATAGATTCTTGATGTTATGGTTTTCTATTGTTCATTTTTCTGAAAAAGATTATGTATGTATTGAGAGCATCTTTATATTAAAGTAACGCTTGTTAATATTCATCATCATCGTCTTTACCCTTCACTGAGTTGGTTACTTTTCTGTGTGTTAACTGGTCACTGTTCACGCCGGATCATTAAGCTGTTTACCTCTAAGAAATAAACATTGAAAGTAGAATAAGCGCTAAACTTTTCAATACCCTGCAAGATAGCTAACGTATCCGATGTGGCAAGAATCTCCACACTGCTACCGCCACTATTTTCCCCGATTCCCGATATATTGTGTTAAACTCGCTCTCTATGCTAAGTCTGAGAAATTTAAAAATCTTTAAGACATGATGCGAGTATGTTTTCCTCTACATTATAAGTTGGAGTTTTAAAAGCTTCCTTGGGTGTAAAATACGTTAAGATCTCTTGTTGAAAATATGATACGTTTTGGTATTCAAGAATTTCACATATTCAGTAAGTTTTTTTGTTAGTGGGGCATTTATTTAAGCTATAAACCTGAAGGATAAAAATAATTAGTTGTGTATATATATACAGTATATACCTGACAGTAATGACATACCTCACTACCATCCAGGAACCATTGAAGGACAGGTCTGTGGCCGTGGTAGGGATGTTGTCTGGGTTGGCAGCGGATCCTGATCAAATCTGTACTGTCGTAGATCTCTCGAGCGTCCACTAGGATGGGCGGCGCCAGCGGCTCTGCTGCGGATAGACAATGGGCGTGAGATGGGCGCCATAGTGGAGTAGAATGAGCGACGCAATAGCGTGAATTGAGTGTAGGATGGATGGAAGATGGACCGTGTAAGGTGAATATAGGAAATCTGATGTTGCAGATCGGAAAAAAAAAAATATTTCGACATCTTGACTGAAATAGAAAGAGACGAAACATGAAGCATTTTGGAACAGCAAACATGGTAGATGATAAAGTTGGTGGCCTTGTGGTATTTTGGCCAAATATTAGAATATCTTCGTAATAGTTTTCCAGTGTACATGAAGTTTGTAATTATAGTCTTCTGGATCTTCAAAACTAAATATACTATTGGAGTGATATAATTCATGTTGGTATATATCACTTGTTTATATACTAATGTACACAATACGGATCTTAGTGCAGAGGTGTTACTGAATGGCTTCTGGGATACTGCCAGACATATCGCATCATCTTTGTTGGTTGGTTGTGCAAGGTGGATAGCCTCACTGTGAAGCATCAGTACTGTTGTTAGTTTGTTGTGGTGTAGCGCTTACGTAGTCCTCCTTTATACTATTACTCTCTGCATTCCAAATTGATTTGCAATATCTTTTATTGGCACAACATTCAGATGCAGTGCTACGGTGGGTTTTGCAACTTCATTAGGAGTGGTTTCCTGTTGCTTTTTATATTGTGTTCCTCTTTCTGACTGTGTGTGTGTGTGTGTGCGCGTGTGTGAAAGATTTTTATATTCCTGAAAGCCTTTCCTCGTTATGACAAAGAATGACGAAAATCAACATTAAAAAACTCTATCAATATGTTCACTGAAATTCATTGTCTTTAATCAGATTACAGATGTGTTCTATCACACATTCTCATTCAACAACGTGTAGTGCATCGTTAACACACAGCTTAACTCCTACACACCTCGCCTTGGAGTGTCAAGTTACCAGTATTTACGTGTAGTGGTGTAAATCAAATAAATTTTTCTCTCTCGTAAAGAACAGAGATTTCATTCAAACATGAAAACAATCCAACCTTGTCCTGGACAGATCACGCCCATAGGATACACGCCCACATGAGAGGATTACCAAATCACGTGCTAGGACATAGTACACGTCACAGAGAAGTAGCTCAGCAATTGGATGAAACAAACCTATAATGTATATCTAAGTGCACATAAGCAGAAAGATATGTATCTCTTAAATTTGTAACTGTTGGTGACTAGTGTATTTGCTCTACCCCAAAGACGCGCCCAAGGACCTTTGACGTTAAAGTGCAGTAATACATGATAACATCAACAACATCATAAGGCTGGTATGGGGGTGGAGAATGAAATATTTGGCCGCGCAGGCAGGTGGACCAACCTTCAGAGATGTGGCTGATAATTATCCAGGATGTGATGGTAAATAAAGTAATCACCAATTCAGGTAAATATACTTCACCATGTGTCCCTAGTTAGATAATATAGGCTTATTATTGCTTTATGTGTGCTATTTTTATATAACATTTTGTTAAAGGAGGTTTAAGGTTAAATCCCTTTCCCTTATCACCATAATCACTAGTATTTTCGTGGTTAAATTATGATTCATGAGAAAAAGTGAAATGTTTTAAATATTACGAAACAAACAGTAAGATGTAATACAATCCCTTACTGTTTTCACCAGGTCTGTAGATAGATAAATACGTAGATATATATTCAGGAAAATCGCCAAAGAAGTTTACAATTGGTTCAGTATGTAAACAACACAGGTATATCATCTCTATTTATCGTCCACTTCCTTCTCTTCTCCTAACCCTACCACCATCCCTCTCTTCCCACTTACCGCTCTAAGCTCACGTCTACCCCTCTCTCTTCCCTCTCCCCACTTATGCAAGAAATATTGTTAAAAACTAAACTCCTAAATGTCTTTCCGGGTTATTCCCGTCTCTTTACACATCCCAGCATCATACACCTAAACATCATACACCCCAACATCATACACCCCAACATCATACACCCCAACATCATACACCCCAACATCACGCACCCCAAAATCACAGAACCCAACATCACGCACCCCCAACATCACACATACTGGCATCATGCACCCAACATTGTACACCCAACATCAATGCTTTACATCACCATATGAACACATGTAAATTTTCTAGTATAATGAAATAATCTATTATACTTGTACAGTTAAAGCCCAATATATGGTTCCTCTACCAAAACACCCCCAGGTCACATATATAAAAATTGACAAGCTTGACGGGTGGTAAATAAAGCTGTTTATTAAGCTTAGTTCAATATGTGATCATTTTATGCGAAAATTCTCGATAACTTTCGTTCTTAATGGACTTTTTCAGCGACGTCAAACGATTTATGAACACCATTCCTGACTGGTTGATTTGACTCACTGAGATAATCTCTTGACTCCCTGACCCGCTCACACCCTACGACTCATTGCATCCCTGGTCGGAACAGTAACGCACCTTAAATCAAATTTTCTATCTCCGCCTTTTATGTTCTAATTGATTGTTTGGACCGTGATATTACTGTATTATTATTATTACTGTATTCCTATTTATTATCAACATTGCTATCTCCTTTGACCTCCTCCCTTCCCCCCTCTTCTCTTCTCTCCCTCCCACACTCTCCACCCCCACGTCTTCCTCTGTTGAACTTCCCTACTTCGCGTGGTTGGTTGCTTAACTCTGCTATAAATAAACTCTACTCACTTCCTCGACCCTTCCTCCCCCCATCCACCCCCTTACCCGTGAAAAAGTATCTATTTCTAATATACGGAAGGAGAGAAAATATATCGGTGAGGGACGTATATATAGATAGAAACGTGGGAGACAGGAAAATAAATTCACCTTAGTCGAATTTATCCTCAGTGACAAGGGGGTGGAGGGTGAGGGGTGGAGAGTGAGGGTGAGAGGGAGGGTGCTGGTAGTGTTGGAGATAGTGATGGTGACGATAATAGTGGTTGTAGAGAAGCTGATAGCGGTTGGTGGAAGTGTATGGGAGTGGTGGTGGTAGTGGTGGTAATTGTGATTGTAGTGAAACTGATAGTGGTTGGGAGGAAAAAGTTGTGTTGATGATGATGATGATGATGGTGAGGGTGGTGGTGGTTGTGTGAGTAGGTGATGGGTTATAGTGAGATCAGTGGTGGTAGCAGTAGTGGTGTAGGTGGTGGTAGTAATCATGAAGGAAGAGGTGGTGGTGATGATGATGACGGAATAACTAGTGATTATAATAAGGTTATCGTGTTGACTGTGACGGTAGTAGAGAGGGTATTGCTACTGGTTACAATACATATAAACACTGTCTATTGTAATCATAGAATATATTAGATCCTTAATTATATAACAATGTCTATACTATAGATAGACAGTAGAGATATTAGAAGGGGGTGTTAAATGGCGGGTGTTAAACGGAAGATTGAAACTAAAGATGAATAATGTAGAATTACTAAGTGGTAGTGTAGTAGTGAAGGAAACACGACTAAGAGATGGAGCTTTATTCCCGAGTCCAAATATCTGTTTTTTGTTTAGATTTAAGTGAAAATAGTAGTAAATGAAAGGCTCAGGGAAAACCATGAAAAGTTAATACAAGTTAGTTAGATAAGAGAAATGAATGTAACATGCACCTAAGAACTAAAGCGAGTGGGAGAATTTAGTTGATATTACACTGAGAATCTACTCTTGGTAGTTAGATACGTGTAGAATGACCCACAAACAAATTTTATATGAAAAAAAAATCCTAGAATGTGCAGCTGAGATACACACGCGACCAAGAGAACTGTGTGTGTGTGTGTGTGGTGCATCAAGGAGGTAGCCCCATGTGTGTGTACATGACTAGCAACCATGGCGGTGATTGATCTTTGTTAATAAATGTGATGCAGGTGTGTGTGTGTGTGTGTGTGTGATGCTGGGGTGTGTGTGTGTGTGATATTGTTGAATATTAACAAAACATTTCCTTTCTTATACTGTAAATTGAAGCATCAACATAACACAGACGGGGTAAAACTATACTTCACACAGTCGGGTTTCACTTGACGACTAGAACATTTATGGCAAGTTAGTCTCTCGTGTGTTTGTGGGGTCATTCTTCACGTACCGTACAGTAGAGTATCAGTGCAATAATAATACCTTTTTTCCCACCTTCAGTACACCGTAACATGAGTGAGTTACATAGACGCTATTTCGTATAACTTGATGTGAGTTACGCGCCATTGAGTATCCCGGTTGGGAATATTTTCTGCCTATCTGGGTAAGACGTCAGTATAATTTTGTCTAGAACCGGACAAGATCTTCCGCCCAATAAATACGTCAGGTATTTTTAATGTTGTCGTAAACAAACAACCGCCATCATCTTCCAATTATGGTCATTGATGTTTGACGTGGTAGAGGCAGGTTATCTATGTGGAATGGATTTCACAAAGGGTAGTTGACCCAGACGGAGCCAAAAACAAGCTTGGATTTGACGTTGAAATGATCTGATATTGTATTTTCCCTTCTGACTCTAAACCTGTGTTGGAGACGTCAGTAAACTGTCATAAGCTGGTAGAGGAGATATAGAGTGAGTGAATGAGTAAGTGTCCGTACGTGCGTGTGTGGGTGGAGGAGGGTGGAAGAGGTGAGTAGGATGATGGAAGAGAAGGAGGAGGGGGGAAAGGGGGAGTGGGAGGAATGTGAGGATGGAGGAGAGAAGAGAGAATAAGAGGGAGGGAAGGAAGGAGAGTGAAGGGGATGGCAAGGGGAGAGGAGAGGGAAGGTAAGAGGCAGGGCAGGTGTTCCATGTTTGGCCGTAACACAACAAAATCTTGTATAAAACTAACTGGCCGTGCAGATACAGCTCCCTGAGGGAAGGTGGAGGGGACGGGGGGAGAAAAGGGGTGGGGGAGGGAAGAGAGACGGAGAGAGAGGGAAAGAAGTGGGGGAAGGGAATTGACGAGGAAGAGAAGGGGAGAGGGGGTGGGAGAGGAGAGATACTTAGCCGTTATATTTACTAATACGTCGGCAT